TCATCTAAACTTTCCTGTGCGTCAAAAAAGACGTCTTCTTCTTCGACTTCTTGTATAGTCGGTTTGATGCTTCGTTCTCGAAGGTGGATTTCTTCTTTTGTCCAATCGATACCTGGGTTTTCTTTCTTTAGCCATCCCATTCCCAGGATTGCGTCTTCCCCTCCCAAGGAGGTGACGAGGAAGCGCGTTCGCATGGGAATGCCGTGGACGAGGAAGGAGAGATTACAGTACCGTGTGATTTTTCCATTCTTGTTGAGCATGCCATCCACGTTTCGTACGGGTATGGGCTTATCGAGTTCGTGACTCTTGATGGAGTTCCGACGGACGAATGTCCAGTCGATAAACTTGCCTTCAGCGCCTGAGTTGATCAGTGCGGCTGCTTCGATGATTTTGTTGACCTTAGAAGAGCAGATGGTAAGTGGAATACACATAGAATTACGATTGCCAATGCTCTGTACTAAAAGTCCTACTCTAGGAGACTCTGACACCAGTGCAGATCTCCGCTTTAAAAATCCTCTTCTTTGTCGGATTCTTCCTTCTTCTTCGGTTTCTTTACCTGGCGTGCTTTGAACGCCTTCCATTCCAAAAACTCCTGGTATTCAGCATCGTCCTTCTTGGAACTAGATGCGGAGTTAGTTTGGGTTTTCCTAGCGGTAGTTACCGTAGGGTGATTCGGGCAATCTTTGGCAAGGCCCTTCTTGCCGCATTTGAAGCAAAGGCCATTCTTGCGCCTGTGGTCACGTTCTTGTGGCGTGAGTTAAGTCTTCCTCGTACTTTTCTCACCATCGTCATCTTCTCCTGCCTCCATCTTATCAATATCCATGGCGTAAGGGTCCTTTGCCCTTCCCATGGTTGGCGGGTTCATCAGTGTTTTCCTTACCTCGAAGTCGAGGGCTTTACTGAGCCATCCATCGATGGTGTCTGGAATTTTTTCAAGGGCTAAGATAGCGGAGACTAGCTCACGCTTTAAGCCGGTGCGGAAGAATAAGATCTTCGTGTTTTCTTCTTCGATGCCGGTGTTGGCTAGGATGGTGCGGAATAATGATGCATAGGCAGGGACGCTGCCGGTCTGTTTGATGGTGGAAATACGCCTCATGGCGGTTTCGACAATGTTCTTGGGATAGAAGGTGGCTTTGAACTTCTTAGTGAAGTCTTTGTAAGAGTTGAAGACTGTGGCATCCATGGTTGCCCTCTTTAATTCACCTTCAGCCCACTTGGCTGCTTCTCCTTTCGTCATTCTACTTAACGTGAGGATGATCTTCTTCTTATCTTGGTTATATACTTCTTCGTTGAGGAGGAAGTACACTTCCATCTGTAAAGACCAAGCGGTGGCCTTGCGAGTGTCTCCATTGAAGACCTCGGGAAGAGAGCCGATTTCTTTAGGCATATCTTCGTTGTCTGAGTCGGTGGTGTCGGGGGTGTTTGTGATGGTTGGGTTCGGTGGGGGAGGAGCTGGTATATCTTCGTAAGATTCAGTCCAAAAGTTCCAGCGCTGTCCTTGGGGCGCTTATCCGTCGTAATAAGTTCTCCACTCAGCTATAGTCCAAGTGTCGTCGTCTTCTGTCTTGACTAGGGACTGTCTAGAGTCGCTCCAGGTAAAACCTGGTGGATTCTGTCCTAGGCGAGACGTTGTGGGTTCTGGGTTCGTGCACCAGTTACAAGTAACGGTGCCTAGAGATGTTAACTTGACCTTTTGTTACGCTCGGCGTTGGTTAGACGTCTTAATGTTCAAGGATCAAAGTGAAAGTCAATGTTCTTATGAAGATGAAGCTAGATTGCAGGCCCTGGTCTGCATAGGTCAAGTTAAAGATACAAAGCGTAGAAAGTAAGGTATATATAAGGGTATTGAAGCGGAGCTTTAATATGAATAGTGAATAGGAAAAAGAGAAAGAGAATCGTACGATAGAATGTAATAGAATACTATGGAATGATGAGTAAGCATATGTGACAACGTGAAGAAGTGAAAAGATAGAACTGTAACACGGTGAGTACTTGTAGCACTTACTATACTGTTTTTCCTTGGAGTAATGAGCTTACTTTGATTGCAGGCTTATCTGTGGTTTTTTGTACTTGTTTGTCGCGCGCTTCTTTCGACCAGTCAATGCAATGCGGTAAGTAAATAAAGGCAAATAAGTCGTATTACGAGCGAGAATGTACTGATGCTCATTGTAATCCAGCATCATCTATTCGCATGGATCCGAAACATCCTGGTGTTACTGAAACGGTCTCATAAGGGTACCTGCAGCAGGCACTAAAGAGGTGGTCAGACTCAATGGTGCTTTGCTGAACGCTTCTGACGCAGGCTTCGCTTTCCCTGTCAGTTCGCTAAAGCTAGTGTGGATGGTGTATTTCATTGTGACTTATAGATGAATTGTTCCTTTCGTACTGACATATACATATGGGACGGATTTGAATGGTATCGCTGAAGGTACAACAATTCAGATGGTGAGTCTGAACAATGTTGGGTCTTGCAGAACCTAGCTGCTATTCGACCCTAAAGGGTTTCTGGACTAGGCTTAAGGCTCAGAGGAGAGGAAATATCATAGAAACTTGCTCAGCACTCAGACTCATACTGGTAACTGGTGAAAAGATTGATTGATTATGTAAGCTACAAAAGTGCCAACATAAGGTAAGGTAAAAACAGTCTCTACAAGCCCAACCAGAAATGAATCCCTACATCGCACGCGTGATTTGAAGCTTGAAAGTCCCACTACTGCCTACCCTTACCACGCCAGCAGATATATAGGCTTATTGCGCTTAGATATAATTGTAGTTTGATTTTATTGATCCAATCAAAAAGCCGGTAAGCTATAACATTCATAGTGTGTGATCTCAGTGTGCCCAAAGTCACTGTCTGACTATGGTCATGCTGGATTGCTATATAAAATATTACTTTATTGCGCAATTCTGATGGAAAACTGTAGATGTCAGACAATTAGCTTGGAACCTGATATGGGTTCCTATCAGTATATTGGAAGAAAACGGAAAGACAGAAGCGACTATGTATCAGTAATATGATTTGTGGCTTGGAGAGTGGAGTATAGAATTATGAACACTAGCTAAAGAGCTGATAATGGCTTATATGGGGTTCACCAATGGGCAAGCAAAAGACAAAGATATCACAGATCAGGCATCTGATGCGTGTTTCACAAGCCACTGCATAGACATATAATGGTAAATCATATTTGCCCAACCTCATAAGGTAAGCATGGCCATATCATGCTTTTTGGTTTTTAGTGATGCCAGGGCGTGAACAGATTCTGACATACCAGATAGGCCCAAGAAGAGCAATGATTTTTGGGAGAGGCACAGAAAGGATGTGGAAGTGAACGAGGCCAAAGAGCTTATGAGAGTGTCTTAAATGACCTGCGTCATTGACTCAAACGTAAGCCGCCCTTAGCGTTTAGGATCAATGACTTGTCTGAAAGCGGCCTAGCGAAGAGACCATGTACCGAGCGTCGTTGACTCAAACGTAAGCCGCCCTTAGCGTTTAGGATCAATAACTTGTCTGAAAGCGGCCTAGCAACGAACGAGGCTAAGAGAATGTCTTAAATTGAAAGCAGCCCAGCGTCTACATCAATAACTCGTCTGAAAGCGGCTTAGCGAAGAGACTACGTAGTATGTACTGAGCTTTCAGCGACATTTTCCCGGCTATAGGACTCTGCCCCACTCTCATTTGCACCCGAAGTGACTGGGCCCTCTTGGCTTTCCCCACCGCCTTCGCTCACGTCTCTCCTGGGTCCCACCTCTTTCCCACCGACGCACAGCACAGGGATCATGGATTCGACATACTTACGGTCAGTGTTTGCTGTGATGTAAAGACCTATGTTGACATGTTGTTGATTACATAATTACATGTTCGTCCCAAATTTGGAAATTCGGGCCGAGGGAGACGGCTCGTGCACTGCAACTGGGACGACTTCGTCTTTGCAAAGCTTTCTCAATTTTAGGCTCCCTGGACCCTGTCACTTTTCGCGTGTACTCAGGCTACTGGTACGCACTATTACTCATTCTGTGGATCACTTTCTGACACTCAGCGCTGGTTCTCAGCTACTAGAGGCCCAGATCAATCATACCTAGTAAGTAGGTATGCTCGCTCATTGCTCACCTTTTCCTCAGCTTGTGAAGAAATATGCATATCTTATGTCGACCTTCCGCAATTCGACGTTTTTTCGAAGTCATTCAGCGAAGCTGTCAGTAGCTCTTTTTCGAATGTAGTGTCTAACTCTCTGTAGGAGGCCCAGAATTTGAAGGCAACAATATCATTCACACCTCCTGCAGCAGCCCAGACACTCTCACACTCGTACTTCCCAGCTGTTTCGCTACAGATCCAGACCTCTGGCCCATCATCGACTCCGATATTGCACGCGAAATCCCAGTGGGGGACAGGTATTGCCGGGTCCTGTGGACGACTCACCGAGAGAGCTTAAACCAAATGCCAAGATCAGAGGTGAACTTAATGTGTGCAGAAAGTCGGATCGTTATGCACTAATGACTTCATTACATGCTGCTTGTAGGAAATACTTGATTATGCACCCTCTCGGCCTCTCAACTCCGAGGAGGAAGACTTTACCTAGGAGTGTCGTTTCTACCTCGTGGGGGATAAAAGCCGGCTAACAAAATTCCTCAAATCTGTCACTTGGTGTAATCCTTCGGAAGTAAAGCAAGCAGTGGAGGAGTGTGGGGTCGAACCAGGTGTTATTGATGGTGAGTCTCATTTCAGCGCGATCCTGGCTGGGGGATCTCGTGTTTCTGTCAATACCCAATTGATACTATATGACCGCTCCCGACATCAAATCTCATGCTAATGTTCGAGTAAACTTTGGTATATTTATATGATTTTCAGCTCTTGTTTTACCTCATGCACTCGAAAACCAGTTTGTGTCGCGCCTCCGAGTCAGGCCAGAATTCTGTTGTCCTGTGTCGTCATTTTCGTACTTCACATTATGAGAGACAACGACACAAAGTCAATTGAAAACATGACGCAGGCTGCACTTCAATCAAAAGCTACTGTGGTGACTACCGTGACTACTACTAGTAGGGGTAACATTTTCTTCATCCTCCTCGCCATCATGGACTCGTGCTTTCTTCTTTCCTTTAGCCTTCCTTCTCTCCTTCGCAAGTCCTGCCTTCATGTGAGATTTAGAAACACAGCTCTGGAACGTATATGCAGAGCCCTCAGACACTCCGACTTTCTCTTTGTAGAATCTAGCAGTGAAATGAGCTGCTGTAGGCAGATAAAATATGCCGTGGTCCTTTAGTTTCTTGTGATATTGGGGAAAGTTTATGGCGGGGTAGTGAGAATGGATGGTCCTAAGGACGTCTTCAATATGTTGTGGCGGTTCGTCATCGGAATCTTCATCGCTGTCTATGTAAAGCGCAAAGGTCCTCTTGAGCGGTTGGGGAGCCGTATGGCCTTCTTGTTCTCTCGCAAGCGTTCCCGGATCGGAGATCATGTCCTTGGTGGTGGGCGAAAGGTGGATATGATTATGGATGACGGGGGATATAATTTTGGTGGGCACTCTTTGGAGCAGCAATGCAGTTCGCTCCTTACGTGTTTTTCGAACTTCATCAAAATGGGGTGTCCTGGGTAGTGTGACAAAGTCTGAATTTCCAGTTTCATACTAAAATTCACGAGCATGCATTATGATGTATCCTCTCAGGCAAATAAATGTTCACATACCAAATATTTAGCCCATTCTTGTAGGTCCCGGGTGCACAACAGATAATGTGGAGTGTCGGGATGGGTTGCATCAACCCAGCAGAATATGTCCTCTCCGAGCCGATGGTCGAAGCAGCACAACTTACCTGTGACTATTTCTAACTCCTTTATATACTCACCCGCAGAAGATGTACCTCCCTGTCGTTGTGTTTGCTTCTCTTTCCGAGCCTGCAAGTCAATGTCACATCATGCAGACTACTTGAAACCATCTGAACACATACAGTATTGAGAATTTCGATAAAAATTTGTCTAGTTTTCCTGCTAGATCCTTGTTCCACCCTCACAGCTTTGAAAGCGCTATTGATGTCCTGCGATGTTAAGAGCCGATGAGGTGGGTCTAAGCGGCGGGCGGTAGACAAACGCCAGCCTAAGTGCTGATATGTTTTTGGGACATCCATCGTAGCCATGATTGAGTCGAGTATGTCCATACGGCAATCTAACTCAGAGTGCGAGCGGTTCACATAAGTCGTCGACTGGTCTCTATCCAGGGTGTGTAAGGGAACTCTAAACTCAACTAATGTGACACGACATGATCAGCATCTCGTCAGACCTGAAATACACACCCTTAACGTACTTTTGTCCGGCTGAGCCTGACAAGGCTGTTGTGCGGTCAATTCTTCTAATGACTCCGGCTGTTCAATCATTCGCTCATAAAAATGCTGAACCGCGCGCATGCGGGTGATCTCATTGGCCTCAACATTGGGCAGGTCTGGACGAGCGCCAAGGAGGAAAGCCGCAGTTTGCGCACGAGTACGTTGACGAGCGGAAGGAATTTTTTTGACCATAGAGTTAATAGAAAGGACTGTAACTTGGACACAGAGAGAAAAAAAAATGTTCAAACTCACCTCGAGTTTTATAAAAGCGATGAAGGATTTCTCATATATTTAATTATCACGACTGGTATGCCGGCAGTCTCAGTAAGAGAGAGGCTGGGCAAATAATAATGGTAAGCATCTTGCCCGGAGCTAACTACTTACAACCCAGCGGTCAGCAGAACTGATCCTGATAGAGCTGTCCACCGTGGCCTAAAATGGATCCTGCCAGGTTTAGCTGCAGCACCCACGGCTTTGAAAGCGGAAGATTAAATCTACGAAATGTCGTTGAACGACCCGAAGAGCACAGCCTATACCCTCAGGCTGCTCAAACTCACGAACAGTGACATACCTGCTGCTCGTATCAACATGCCCATTGCAGCCGTTGCGAGTAACAACTTAGAAGAGGTACGGCTAATCGTTCCGTGCCTTGTAGTCTCATTCTCACCACGTATCGGATGTATATGTACTATGCCATATAAGGCAGTATGACATATTGCATTACAAGGTAGTTGGGAATTTGCTGGGATGGGTCTGGAAGTGGAGAATGTGCGGAAGAAAAAGGAAGTCAACAGTGTTACGGTCGATGCCGGAGACATGATGGACGAGGTCTATGGGCGTCGAACGTCAACACTGGATGCAGGAGCACTCAAACGACGGTAAGTGCATTAGCAAAGATTAAATTGAATGCCCAAAGGGAGAGTAGAGGCCCGGGACACAGACTCATCTGGAGCACTCGCCGAACTCGAATTGGGCTCAAGTGGAGCGCGCACGTGGGGTACTACTAGATGCGGATTGGTCCGTGGGAGGTTCACCGGTGAACATCTCTATCATGATGTCTACGGGTGAATAGCCATTGGTACCAGGAATCCAAGGGAAAATACAAGCTTCTGACATCCCGCTGTAGTCATTACTCGTCAAGAATACACGTGTTTCAGGCTATTGGCTATACTTCTGGCAGATACAAGAAATTCAACACATGATGGTCACATCTGCCAGATGTTATGACGGTCTGTATTTACAACAATCCGAAGGTCACCGTTCATAACGAACAAGTCCGCAGGGTCTTATCATAATCAAATTAGTACATATCACAACAATGAACACCGAGACTCGCACCTCAGTCATCGGCCTCGAAGTCACTGTTAGATGCCAGATCTTCCATAGCTACACTACTGGCATCTCCCTCAGGCAAACACGACTTTACACCCCCAATGTGACTCAGGGTTGAGTTGGCGACAGCGAACGACCTGTAATTGTGGCTGTATGCACCCACATCAAAGTCCTTGGCCACTTCAAGATCCTCCTTGCTATGTCCAACCAAATACTTCCGGAGAAAGGCAGCTTCCTTGGCGTCAATTGTATATCTTTCAAGTTCTTCTTCGACAATCATTTCAAGAAGCGACTGGTATCGGTCCTTTGCCTCGACCGCCCAAGCCGTTCCCAGCACGGCCATGCACTTGGCTTCACAATCAGCTTCCTTTGCAGAGACGGCTTGAGAAATCAGCGTCTGAGACAAACATTTCAGGCAATCTTTGAGGATATCTTTGCCCTAGTGTTTGGCTTGTCAATTTTTCTGATAATGTACGTCAGGTAAGTCAACATACCCCTTCGATATCCGCCACACTCATATCATTGTCACCAGATTTGAGACACCTTTGAAAAAAACGAAGCTCTAACGCATTTGGGACCAAACCATGTGGCTGCTCATAAGGCTTGAACCTTATTTGCGCACGCACCGCAAAGCCAAGCAGGCGCTGCATTATGTTGGAGGGAGGGTGTGGAAATGCAAAAAGTTCTTCTTCTGGATCAGGGGAGGTGTCACTGGATGCCGGTGATCGTTTACGATGGCCAGAGCGTAGTATGGAATGTGCTGTCGTACGACTACGTCTCTTCTTGTTACGGTGACGTGGACTTGAAAGGTCAGGTGGAGGAGAGCTGGGTGGAGTCTGGACGGGAAGTTGAGCACACCCATCGCTACTATCACGGTCGTAACTAGAGTTTCCGAAAGAGCTTGGAGAAGTGGTGAGATGGCCGTGCATAGGAGAAGTCTGAGTGCTCCGCATGATGGTATCTGACCGAGACTCAAGACTTGGGATGGCACAATATAATGAACTTGAATGTTGAACGAATCCGCAGGGATTGAAAGACTGAGAAGTCACAGGCTAGCGCTGTTGGTATCACATATTAATATCACCCCATTGGTTATACTGACCCTATGATACTATGGGAAGATCTGAGTCAATGTGGTCATGTGTGGAACTCTCGACCAAAATGTATCCCTACCACAAACACATCGAGCAACTCCGAGTCTGATTCAGAGATCTAAGGTACGATTCATATGATATCTTGGGGAACGCGAATTCTTATACCTCAACCCTATTTGCTTTCATTTGGCAGGCCTGGACCGGTTGGAGTGGCACTGCATTTTCTTACTAATTAACCCTCTTTGTTATTCCGCCATCCAGGACTCAGACTGACAGTACTCAGTACTCACTGGCACTAGTATGTGGCTCAAATCAAGGCGACTGTAACTGCGTAATACTGTTTTTGTTTTGCTCCTTCAGTTGATATAACGCCCTGCCTGCCAGAGAACCTGAAGGTACCACCTGCCCTACAAGTCCTTTAGCTAGGCTTTATCTGCTATCCTTGCTTCCAGATCCTCCCCACTTGGCATATTTCTGTGTTATTATAGCCTTTTCTACAAGGCTATATAACTATTAGGATAGTCTAAAGTCTTAGACTTTAGATAGTCCTCCTCAAAGGAGTCACGATGTGCTCCCCAGTAATTCCCCATTTGTTTAACTCAATCTCCACACCCGTCTACAAGCCAGCCTCCAAATGTACGTTCAGCTCCAAAGTAACCAAAGTAAACTCCATTAATGCTGCCGTCAAGTCTTTCTAGATAATCCGCTCAAGCTCGTCTATCTCATCTTAATATTTACTCTCATCTCTCTACGCTTTATTTTTCTCAATCTGCTCATCTCTATGGCTCGTGCCGCTGCTCACTCTCTGGCTCGTGCCGATGCTCACTCTCTGGCTCGTGCCGATGCTCACTCTCTGGCTCGTGCCGCTGCTCACTCTCTGGCCCATTGGGGGCCACCAACAACAACATCACATTTGCACACTCGGGTTCGTTGGCAACCATACTATGCCACCCTTTCATCAGTTTCCTCACGCCAATCTCCTTCATATCTCATCACTCCCGCCTCATCTGTATCATTCATCACACATTCACCTCTATCAGCATCAGTCTATGAACAAGAATGACGGCGAAATCCTCAGTTTCATCCCTGAGAATATCAGCTCCGTGACTCCCAGAAATCGAAATATGTCACTGGTTTAGTTGGTAAGTTCAAACCTCACTAGCTATTTTTGGCTCAGAACCCTGTCATGCTTAGTCATCCAGGAATTACCTCTCTCGTATTAGACTCGGAATTGTGCATTTTCATTTTGGCATTGGCATTCGCTACTAAGTAGTGACCAGGACATTTGCCTTCGCACCTTTGGTACTGTCCCTTTCACCGAAGATTTAGCTGATCATGTGAGTCATATCGTCCCGAATTCTAATATTGTCATTACTAATATGTCTGGTCACGCATAGTCGGCGTGTCGTATTCGTGCGTCTGTTTTCTGCCAGTACTACCTGTAGAATAAGGCTTATCAGAATGACCACAAGCCACCGAGCTCTCTATTGACAGTTGGAAGGGCAAGATGGTCGTGCTCTTCTCAGTACCTGGTGCTTTCACCATATGTATTCCCAAGGTATTGCTGATCATCGAACTTACCCCATCCTGTTAGCCAACTTGTCACATTAACCACCTCCCGCCTTACATTGCCAACTACGACAAGTTCACTGTCAATGTCATCGTTATTGTCGCTGCCAATGATCCGTTCGTCATGAGCGGATGGGGATGTGTTGAGGGACTGACAGGCAAGGTAAATCCTCCATACCATCAAGTCATCCCAGGAGCAAATGAAAGAGTTCACGTGCGTAGATAATCACCCTTTCTGACCCCAATGCCACGTGGTCAGGCAGCCTGGGATTAAACGTCAACCTCTCCTCGCGCAAATTTGGAATCTGTACTGCACATTACTGACTCACTCTCCTTCGCACTCAGACATTTGTTACATTCTCATAACCCGACCTCCTTCAATTTTATTAGGCTTGGCTTGTTCTGTTCTCTGCACACTGTACGTTACCGCACTATTGACTTTTTTGTCCTCATATCGATCTTTTGGTCGATCACCTGGAATTGCTCAGTGAATTCACTATTTCGACTGGATGTTCGCTGGCTTGCGCTCCTTATCCAGACATCACGTCTGTATTCCTACCGCGTGTGGTCGCACGTGTCTTGGAACAGTGATTCCCCACCACATAATGTTCATGCTGTTTACTCAATCAACTATTCAGATAGCTTTTCACTTTCCTGAACTACACCCATCCACCTATGCCTCTTCTCGCCACTTCCGCTCGTGGTTAGAGATTGCTCACTGTTCTTGTTATCCAGCATACTGTGTATGCTGCTTGGACTCTGTGTCTGTCATGTATGGTGATCTCTTCATTTGCATTGATGTCAAGGGCCAGTGCAGGCTGTTTGGCCGTGAAAATTTCGAAGCAGAAAGTTATACTCATTCAAGCACTGTCTTTCGAGCATTTAGTGAACCTCCACAGTTGTGCTCCATCAGTTGAGAGCACGAGGACATGATCTTTGGGTCTGATCCTCCCATCATTCACAGCTTCAAGGTACTGGCTGCCATCGAAGGAGTCGTTATACCGACTCCAACTCAGGCCCGCATGAGACTGACAATTTGATTCAGGGCACGTGTCAGACTTATGCAAATATGCACGGCAGAAGTCGGGAGCTTGCACCGCTACGATTTGATTATTGGGCATGAGTCGTGGCAGAAGTAGAAGCAACACATCCGAGATTGTGGTACTCTCTAGTGATATTCTTGCTTCTTGATTCCCTTCCGGCTCGAATTTGAAGTTGTTTCAACTTTGTACCGCAGCCTCGAGTTTGACCCAGCCTGTGACTCGGGTCATCGTTCCAAGACAGTCGTCCCACATCCTCTGAGTCCGAGTCGCCACACCCTCGGGTGGATAACTAGCGTTAATTGTAATGCTTTGTTACCCATCTGAGGATCAACGCTGGTTCAAATTCATCCGACGATGGATCCTCATTATCCATCCAATGATCAATGCTCGTTATCCGTACACCTATCGAATCATCCTCTTCTCTCTGATAGATTACTGCAACATGTACAACGATCACCAGCCACCTTATAACGTGTCGGCGCAGACAATTCGGACTCCAAGTTCAGAGGGCTTTACGATGGTAAACTGCAATACCATCAATCCGCTATGATCAGTGACTGACCAATTACCTTCCCCAACAGCATGTCGAACGTCCCAACCAGACGTTTGACTGGTCGCATAGCACCTTTGAAAATAGCGACTCGGACATACAAAAAGCTTTCAATTTCGGCAACCCTGTAACGATCAGTGACGGGGTTGAGCATTCCATGATCGACAATGTTCACTACACCAGCCTGTTTTCTCCCCGGGTCCGTCACACACCTTACACCATTCCACAACGGCATCGTCCATCTCCTCACAAGGCTACACAACAAGGTGAGGGGACATCCCGAGGCATGGCACCATGTGACCTGTCTCCGGGTTTTGTGCTGAATGCGCCGCCCCCCGCACCAGCTGCGCCTTCTCCTGCACCTGCTCCGGTGCCTTCTCTCGTGCCTTCTCCGGTTCCTTCTCCCGCGCCTTCTACCGCGCCAGTCCCAGCTCAAACAACGTTGTCAGTCCCAGCTCAAACAATGTCGTTAGTCCCAGCTCAAACGACGTCGTCAGTTTTTTTTGGTCTTGGGGATCTAAATAAATCAAAAGTGAAAGCACTATTTCAATTAAAGTGCGAGATATTCAACAGTTCCTTCCTACCAAAGGATGACATCATAAAACACATGGCAATCAAATATCTCAACAATGCCGTATGCCACAGCGGTAGAAAGCCTACTTGAGTCATAGTGTCTGTTGCTAATTGACCTGTAGATGAACTCCTTGCCTGGAGTAAAACGGCAGACGGCTCAAATGAGATCACCAGAATGTGCAGCGCTCTCGTAACAATCAGGAAAAATATTCAAGCTCTCACACGCAGCGCCGTGCTGTGGGGGTACAATTTGCACCAATTGCTGCATACGGAGAAAGAGGTAGTAAAATTTTTTATTGGTGACCTTCTCGACAACGAGACCTTCCTTTGAGGTGTTATCAATGCCAGTCATTTTGTTATTGTTTGTTATTTGTAATTTACATTTGAGTCTAGGTTAATGGAAAAGATGTCAACATTCCTTTTGGGAGCCGAGCAATGCAGCACTACATCCACCAACTACTGTATCACGACCGACAATACAAACATTTTATTGAAAATAAACGGAATATTCAACCGTTGTACACCTATACCAGTGTCTTGTTCAAGTGGGCATTAACTGAAATGTCGAGCGGAGTATTCAGAGAGTTAGATTTCAAAATTGCCGAGGCTATCAAGGATCATGACACAATGGTAAAGCTATTCAAGACTCTGACGAGGGAGCAGCTGGATGCCCTCACTGCAAATATATTGGACTAAGGTGAGCAGCTACGAGAGCAAAGGACATAGCATCGCTGATAACACGCGCAGAGATCAAATGAATGACTCGGTGTCTGGTGCGAGAGGAACTTCGGTAGGAAATTATGTCAAAATATCTAGGCTGCGGCTGCCAGTCTTGTACCCACCCATAGTATAAGTACAAGCATCATATAGCGACGAGACAGATTCGAGGAAGGTGATAAGCCGGCTCTTGTCCCCCGCGAGGTAGAAACAAAACTCCCAGGTGAAATCTTCCTCCTCGCTCGGAGTTGAGAGGCCGGGAGGGTGCACAATCAAGTATTTCCTACAAGCAGCATGTGAGGAGGTCATCAGTGCATCATGATCCGACATTAAGTTCACCTCTGATCTTGGCATTCGATTTGGGCTCTTTCAGTGAGTCGTCCGTATGAGCCGGTACTAGTACTTCAACGAGGCCACCAACAGACTCTACACCAGCTTGAGAATACCGGAGAAGGCTTCTCTTGGGTTTGTTAGATACGTTATGTCAACCAGTGACAATGAAGCAAGGATATCCTGGCATTAGAACATGAAAATGTGAATTTTCTCGTGCAGTAGAATGGAATGCACGCCGACTAAACAATTTCATCCAGAACTCTTGATGCACGCAGTGTGTCGTCGACCAAAGTCGGCAAAACAAGTCAAAATATTGTCCATACAGCCGCCGATGAGGTCCATGTTCTGATGCTGTGTTAAATTCTATTTTTTGGCTCACCTATATCATAGGTTAGCAATGTGAAGTGGAATGGACATTGGAAGAAGTCGATCCAACCGAAGGCCATTACCCTGATGATCGAAAATTACAACAGTACTCCAACCTATTCTTCCTTCTCCAGTCTGAACCCCGTCATATTGCTGCACTATGTCGACTTGGACTTGTCAGCTTATCAGAGATCGACACTCTCTTGCAGACGGTCATGTTCATGCTGTATGGAAACCAATATGAGAGTCGCGAAGAACATCTCCTTTTAACGATCTCCCAATCAGTCTTGTCCGCACAGTTTGAGACAGCAACCGAGTTTGGGTCGCTACTGCGTGCTAACACTCCTGTCTCCCGAATGATGACTACTTACACCCGACGAGGTCCTGGGCAAAGTCATCTCAAGGGGGTGCTGGCAGAACGCATCAACAGCTTGATAGAACACAAAGACTTGAACCTTGAAATTAATCCTGTAAAGGTGTGCCATAACTAGTGCCGAGAGGCATGTCGAGATCTCTAATGAATATACAGGTGTATGAGCAAATGATAAACCAAATAGAAGAAGAAACAGTACACTACCGCCCAACCTACCTCGCAGAGTACCCCCAGAGGTCGCTGCCGAGAATGCCGACATTCAAGCCATCATTGCACCACGGCTTACTATGCTAATGGAAATCGCGAATAGCTTCCTCGTAACCATACTAGAAAGTATGGAAAGTGTGCCGTATGGTATTCGATGGATCTGCAAGCAGATCCGCAGTTTGACCCGGGTCGGTTTGCTTTCATCTTCCTTTCATTTGACGCTAATCCTCTGGTGTGTCACAGCGAAAGTATCCCGAGGCAACTGATTACGCTATTTGCTCATTGATAGGAGGCTTCTTCTTTCTGCAGTTCATCAATCCTGCTATTGTCACTCCCCAAGCATACATGCTCATTGAAGGCGTCCCCGCTAAACACCCTCGCTGAACACTGACCCTGGTACGTGCCGTATTAGCCCTTCCATTTGCACGTTTTTAGCTAGTAATTCACCTCATTAGATTGCGAAGATACTGCAGAACCTTGCAAATAAGCCCTCGTATGCGAAGGAGATCTACATGATCACACTGAACCCCTTTGTAGAAAATAATAAAGCACGGATCAACCAATTCCTCAGCAGTCTTTGCGAGGTCGGAGATTTCTATGACACTCTTGAAGTACGTTCGAGCATGACTCATGTCTTTCATGTCAACTAACATTGAATATTAGATGGACCAATACATGGCTCTATCCAAGAAAGACCTCATGATCCACATCACCATGAACGAGCTGTACAACACTCACTCTTTGATTTTACAGCATGTGGAAACTCTCGTAAGCATAACTTATTTGTCCTTCTGCTAGTTTCTGACACGGCTGTGCTCCAGTCCCCAAATGACAAGCAGCACTTACATATCTTGACTGATGAACTCGGACCTGCTCCGTCACAGGTTCCGCGAAAGGAGAACCGTGCCATAGAGTTGAACCTGTACAGCCGCTGGGAAACGCCTGTACAGGATATCCAAAGTGCTCTGATGGACTCAGTTTCAACAAGCGACATGCTGTACATGGAAACCAAGTCTATTCTTGTACAGCTCATACTACGTTCCATACCCCACGCTGCTGAGAAGTGGCTGTACAATTTGGCTGTGATCGCTGAATGGGCGGCTACGACGAAGGATGCAACACTTGTGCGCAAAGGCATTGAGGTCAAGGAGATGCTTCGTGAATTGGATTGTCTGCTCTTTGTATCGCTCTTGCTCGCCATGATGGCGATATTGACATTCAGCTCAAGTATGATACGCTGGCTACACACTGATCGGCAATGGACTCAAGAAGTAAGTTTATTCTCGCCATGCTGGCTACACAACCTGACCTAAATATGGTCAGCAACTCAAGCCAGGCGGCTACTTTGTCTTTTCCTACCTGTTGTCAATAGTCACACCCATATTCTTCGTCGCCCTAAGTCACATACTGGCAAAGCGGCATCAGCGCGTGTGCAGTCTGTGATGCTGCCATCCCTATCTTCAGGAATCAACCGCTAGCTGTCATTGGTGGTGGTGGTTCTGCGGCAGAAGAAGCGACCTGTAAGATATTTCAATCCTCCTATCCTGTGAGATCGAAATTAAACATCAAATTCTGGCAGATCTGACAAAATATGGTTCTCACGTGTATGTCCTTGGCCGCCGTAGCGAACTCCGCGTTTCTAAAACTATGGTCAAGCGCCTCATGAATTACCCCAAGATTGTATGTCTCCCTCTATTTCCATACTCTCTTACTTACCACCTGTCATACGTTTTCACAGACGATCCTTCGGAACACCGTCGCAACCGGATGCCAAGGCGACGGCAACAACCTCCGCATCAAAAACGTAAGGACGGGAAGAACATGATCTACCAGTGCGCAGACTTTTCTGTACCCTGTTACTACATCAGCCCCATCTGATAGGGGCCAATGAATAGACAAACACATGACGCACATAATCCACAAGTAGTATGTTCACCGCTCCCTTCACCTTCCTGATCATCGCTGTTGCATCATATCAGTTTTTTTCCTCCGCAACACCACCCACAAGGTACCGCGAGAACGCATTCATGCCCCATGGCAAAGATAGACAAGTACAGGGACCTTCCCCTGAGCCGCAATGGCGGGGAGGAAGAGATTGAATTGAGTATAGGTATCGCCCAGAGCAGCAGACTATTAGCCTCATTATCAGCGTGGCATTGCCGCCGCTGCCAAAACGATGTACTCTAAACTTGTACTTTGCGAGCATCCCCTCGTAATGCTTGTTCGATGAAAGTTTTTCGAGTGACATGTCAGCGGGCTATACGTCAATGTTGAGATTCACGATAGGAAGATCAAAGCTATCAAATGTGCGAGTTGGCGAATCAGACAAGAATGATACGCGCTTGTCAGTGGGTGAGATGGCTTGGACACTGGTCTCATGATCATGATTCCCCGCTTATCCGGTCCACCCCCCGGTCATGATATTAATTTGGCCTACTCCAACTTACATTGGATGAATATGTTTGATTCCGTGGGGGATACTAATCAATGCTGAATCTCAGTAGTATGCGATTAGAATACAATACGACTAATAATGCAGCAGATACTTAATCTTGTAATTACGGGTATGGCACGATGCGTAAAGGGTGGACTCAGGTGTATCAAATCTGCGAGGGGCAGACCCTCATCTCTGCGGCTCTGCCAGTGATCGGCAAAGAGCAACTGGTTTCGGATGGGTCTAGTCTCGTTCTCCCGCATGTGCAGGCGGGGTTGACGATTTTGTAGGTGGTGTAGGTGGTGTCTCATCATGAGGAGGTGTAGGGGGTAGAGATCTCTGCTTTGTTGATGGAGGTGCTTCTGGGGACATTGTAGATCTCGATCCTTCCTGCTGGTTGGGAAGTACACTGGGGTAGTGACATTGATTCTTCTTGCGCTTTTGATACCATCTCTCCAAGTGCAGGATGCATCCTCAGCAGCGGGCTTGGTGTCAACCTGGGAGACGAACTACTACCCAAGAGGTTCTGCTGCATTCTCTCCCAGTGACCTTCAACCATGCCGTTCTCTAGCGTAGCATCATCGCCATCGCCCTCCTCTACTCCAGCCAGCAGGTCTGCGATACCAAGGTAGAATGAAGCAGGCTTGAAGAGAATTTCCTTTCCCCACATTGAGGCCCACATATATCACGCAGCATTCGTCCATCCAACTAGGTCGAGGTGGTTCACGGGTGAAAGGGTACCGACATATGTGCCCTGCATGTGTATTCAGCAAGGCACACACACCAAGGAATCATCCTGTGCACTCACCCACTTGGCTGATTCGAGACTGACTAGCCCATCGTTCGGACCCTCCTTCTCTAAGATGACACTATGTGGCGATTTCCATGTATCAATAAGCCCTGGTTCATAGCATGCACCCCAGCTAAAATAGTACACACCGTCAACATCAGGTGTCTCTTCGTTGAACTGACGCATGCTTTCTACAGCAAGACATTCAAATGCCTTCCCATCGCCGCCACCATTTGGTAGTAGCTCAAGTAGCGCGAGAACGGATGGGAGATGCTGCGAGGCGAGCAACGTGAAGTGGTCCGCGAAGGAAGAGCCATGATGCGGAGTAGGTAGATGCATGGATCGAACACAGTGTATCAATGGACGAATGGATGGGTAGGGAGTAGTTCAGCGATATACATGGCTCGTCAGGGTGAGCTGCAGAATCTGCAGAGGATAAAGGGAGTCCATTTTGAATGTGTGGAGGAATGGAGGTCACAGATACTGACGAGAGAGTTTATAGCAGATTACTCAGTAAAGGACATGGACGACTGAGCAGGGAGCAGGCGAAAAGGATTGAGGCACAGAGGCTTATTGTGGAGGAGGGGAGGTTAGAAAGTCAGAAGAATTCAAATGCGTATACCGCTGCAATACTTTGGCAAAAAGATAAAGGTAAGGCAGTGATCATGAAGGCATACACCTATGGGACACAACTTTCCAAATACCTGAGAAATTAATGATGCCATCAGCTTCTGACCCAACGCCGCCAGGTCGGAAGTGGAATGCACCTTTGTTGACAACTCTGGATTTTGTTCCTGGTCCTTTTCCTGTCCATGGTGTCCTGTTGTGCACCATGTTGTCCTTGGGAGAAGGATACCGATTCATGTGGACTCAGCAGACATCGCTCAAGGTGCAAGTATTACCAGAAGGCAAGCACCTTAGCTACGGAGAAAAGGCGGGGCCGGGCAAGAGAGTCGATGGAAGCATCGCACAAGCCCTCACAGGTCATGACTAGTAGTGCTCACAGTAGTACTAGCCGTGTAAGTCACTTATTTCATAGTACCTGGTCTAAGAGGTGTACTTTGACTTACATACTACCATAGCTCGGACCGGTTCAACCTGCAAAGAACCACTGTTTGAAGCCTATCGCTCATTGCGAATCTAGGGCATTTAGGACACTCCCCGAGCTTGTCAATGCACCTAGTACTGCTCGCCCTAGTAGTCCGACTTTTGCACCTCAAGACTCCAGCGTCTTGGATGTTGCAATGGAAGATGATGCTGAACGAGACTGTCATAGCCCAGGTGTGCACATTTTTAATGTTCTATATCTGCTACCTTGATGTTCATGGTTCATTAGCGGTCCACACATGTGAACAGTCTTCGCAACGCACCCTTAGACCAGTCCCAAGACATTTCGAGGACGCCTTACCTGCCAATGAAGATGTCAATCCTTCCGAGTCATGTGGGAATAATCTGCCTCCTGTGACAGGGACCCAACATCGAATTCAAAGAGTGATTTTTGACCCTGCACGACTCACTTCAAACAGCGTTTAATGTGATGGGCCTTTGTCGGCAATATCCTAGGCGACCCTCATTTGAGCCTGACAAGTTCATTCCTTCTTCGTTACTTGCTAGTTCCTGTCCAACCACTTGCGACAGTCACGGTATTCATACGCCTGATTTACCTCCCAACCCACCCTATCCCTTCCCCAACATGACTATTCACCGCCTCATGACCTGGATGAACTCTGGGAGTCTTCGCAAATCGGAGACTGAAGTATCGCGCCTCGTCAATGACATTATTCAGGCGGAAGACTTTAATCCCAGAGACCTGGATGGATTCTCGGTGAGGAGAAGTTTATGCGCACTGGACCTTAGCGGAGGAAATGAGACTGCTACTTTCCCAGACGACTGGCAAGAGGCCGACGTCACCCTCAATATACCTACAAAGTCAGCGAACGAGTCCAGGTCATTTGACATTCGCGGATTTCATTATTGACCGCTCGTAGGAGTGATTCGTTCCGCATTCGCTGATGTTCAAGCGAATGCATTCCATCTTCTTCCTTTCAAGTGTCTGTGGCAGGACCCCCTGGACGATCATCAGGAACGGGTATTTGACGAACTTTATACCTCCGACTCATGCCTTGCAGCTCAGGACGACCTGCAGAGGCAGCCCAAAGAGCCCGGCTGTTCACTGGAATGAGTCATTGCTGGACTCATGTTCTTTTCTGACGCGACACACCTTGCAACCTTCGGAATAGCTAAAGCTTGGCCCTTGTACTTGTACTTCGGCAATTTAACCAAGTATGCACGCTCAGTGCCGAAATCTGGTGCTTGCCATCTTGTCGGATTCTTACCTTCAGTAGGTTATAGTCTCGCTTTATATATTCTTTCTTATTGTAAATTCGTAGCTTCCAGATGGCATCAAGGACGTTCTCAGCAACTTACCTCGAATATCAAAAAGTGGCATGGCGGCACTTCAAACTCATTGTCGACGGGATTTGTTTCATTCGTGTTGGAAATACTTACTGGATGCGGAGTTCCTTGACGCATATCGCCATGGAATTGTCCTCCAGTGTCCAGATGGTATATTGAGAAGGGTATTTCCGCGAATCTTCACGTACTCGGCCAATTATCCAGAAAAGTGGGCTCTCCTTTCTTTCCTTATCAAAATGATACTAATAGAAACCTCAGGGTTTTGATAGCAACCATCAAAGACATGGGTTCTTGTCCATGTCCGCGCTGCACCATGCCGAAAGCTTCATTCCATTTCCTGGGCCTGCTTAGCGACATGCGATATCGCATAGCCAACCTTAGGACTTACTGCCTGGAAGGGGTAATTCAAGCCCGCTCGTTCATATATGAGTTTGGAAACACCGTTGACGGCTCAAAGGTGCAAAGGGCTCTTGGGGAAGGGTCCTGGGTTCCAGCTATAGTGAGCGCCTTTGGAATCTGTGGCCCTTGAATAGTATCTGACCGTAAACCAGAATGCATTTACAGAGAAACTTGGACTTCTAGGGTTTGACACATTTCGCATGCTCGTGGTTGATTTTATGCATGAATGCGAGCTAGGTACATGGAAGGCGCTGTTCACACATCTCATTCGTCTACTCTATGCGCTTCCCGGTGGGGACCGGTTGGTGGCAACTCTTGATAACAGGTCTGTTTACTCACACTATCCTCATTACTGATTTAAAAGCGGTCAATACAGATTTCGCCAAGTTCCATTATATGGCAATGGAGTCATACAGCGATTCACCAATAACGCCTCTGAAATGAAGAGACTTGCAGCTCGAGATTTCGAGGATATTTTACAGGTCTGTTTAGTCAAGTTACCGATGCCCATTGCTGACGCCTGTTTCAGTGTGCTATACCAGTCTTCGAAGGCCTTTTTCCAGCAGGCCACGATGAGGCCATACAGTCACTTTTATTCAGGTTTGCACAATGGCATGCCCTCGCAAAACTGAGGATGCATTCCGAAACTACCTTGTCAGCTTTGGATGAGACCCTCCGGCGCCTCTTGCATCAGCTGCGCAAGTTCCGGAACTATACATGCGCTGCTTTCACCACAATGGAATTACCTAAGGAACAGTCTGCTCGCGAGCGCAACGCTGCTGGTCAACGTTCAACTTTCGACAACCCGGACCCAGGGAGTGGTGGCTGAAAGGCCAAAAAATTTAATTTGAATACTTACAAATTTCATGCTATGGGGGATTATCTGCAGACGATCCGACTCTTCGGAACTGTAGACTCCTTCACATCACAAATCGTACGTGGATTTCAGTTATTCACACCTTTTTATTGCAATTTACTTTATGGTCAGGGAGAGTTGGCGCATAGGGCACTCAAAGCTTTCTATCCGCTGACTAGTAAACTAGATACCCCTGTGCAACTAGCTAAACACGAGCACCGCCGTCGGGTCCTCCGGCGTACGGCAGAGACAGGTCACAACTCCTACACTAACGAGCAGCCACTGGTCGAATTACCTACAGGACTGAACGATCATCATTATATACCCACACTTAACCGCAACAACTCATTGTATATCTTCAGTTTTCTTCGAAGTTATGCGAACAACCCAGCTTTAGCAGTGGGTGTTGGCCTGTGATTCTTGTGTATCTTACTCACTATGATTCGCAGGAGTTCGTACCGAAACTCAAGGACCATGCACTCTACCGACTTCGAAATTTAGACATCGGGTATTGCGACCATGCCTTCACAGATGAGGAGCACAATTCAGTCATTATCTCAAATAATAGATTATATTCGGTCCAAACAATGCAGGTAAGCCCTGTGCATCTTATGTGTTTTGTTGGTATCTATAGTGACTATTCATCATGACAGGTCCGCTACACGACTTATGATCTTCGACGGGAGTACGACACAATGAATCCTCGTATGCACTGTGACATTATGGTATTGTCTGGGGAAACGAGGCCTAAGCATCCCTACTGGTACGCCCGGGTCCTAGGCATCTATCATATGGAGGTTTGGCTGAATGTTGACGGTCCAATAAAAAAGCAACAACTGGAGGTTCTTTACGTTAGGTGGCTGGCACCATTGACAGGGCAGCAATCAGGGATGAGCTGTGCTCGACTTCCAAAGTTAGCTTTCATGGAAGAGACTGATCATGATGCGTTTGGGTTTTTAGATCCCAGTCAGGTCATACGAAGTGCACACTTAATTCCGGCATTTAATTCTGGGCGAGGCACTACCTCCCTTCGCCATGGAAAGACGTTTGCACATCAGTGCGACGATGTAGACAACTGGGAGGCTTACTACGTCGGCATGTAAGTGCAGCCACCCGTCCCACTATCCATACTCAAACTAAACATCACTTAGATTCGTTGACCGAGATATGTTCGTACATTATACACACTACGGAATTGGGCACCCCAAGGTCATGCGGGAGATGGTAAGAGACTGTGCCAATTTGGACCTCATGGCTTGCCCAAACTCAGACTCGGAGGAAGATGAAGATGGGGACCAGGAGAGCATTCATTCCTGCGAGGTTGAGAGGGATAGAGGTGATGAAGATCAAGATGAGGACGCGATTGAGTGCGATTCGGACGATGAGCTGTTGGACAACGACTATCCAGATGACCGGGAGATTGACGATATTGAGTTTGAGGAAGACAACTGTCTGTCTTTTTAAATAATGCAGTTGGTGCTGCCGTTCAACCTTTATTTTAACCTTACGTTTTTCCTCTGGCTAATTAATCACCATTGCATCTATCCTTTTCATCCTGATGATAGTGTGAATTGTCATTCTTGCTAATGATGTGTATTACTAGTATGTGCAGACATTTTCGATCCAGAATTTCTCTCTATAGTTGCGTCGTTGAAACATTCTCTTTACCATCATGAGTCTAAGTCGTCCACATGCTATCATCCGATTCCAAGTCCACGTCAATGACATCCTCCCACAAGGTGGACGGAACATAAGCAGGGTCCGGTGCTGTATGTCACTTGGAGTATGTTGGCTGGCGTTGGACCGATGTGGGACCGATTTGAGGATGAAAAATACCTTGGTGACGTGAAGCTGCAGTATTAGTCTGAGGCCGTCTGTTAGCAACAGGACGAGATGGACTCGGAACCCTGGAAAGGTGCAGCGGGTTCGGCCATCGACCGTTCGAAAGCTAAAATTTGAAGCTAAGTGATAATTGTCACAACTCTTGAGATGATCGTTGGTGATGCGGCGGCATGTGACCAACTCCAATGCCATTCTAGGTTTGTTGACTAATCCCAAAGGGCACTTAGCAAGGAAAGGTCTTAGAATAACATTTTAAATCGAAACACAGTTCAGGCAAAAGCAGAAGCATAACGAAGTTGAGATGAGCATGCTATCGCCTCTTACCTGTTGCAATGGTGACGTATCATATTTTGTTTGCAAAGTCCCATGCTATTTTAGATCTGTTCACCAGTGCCAAAGAGACTTTCTACTGCAAGATCTTGGATGGGGTCTTAATCCAAAGTATAAGCAGTAGGGCTGGCCACCGTAACCATATACGGTTACGGCCGTACAATTTATGGCGGGCTTATGGGTACTACCCATACCGTACCGTATGTCATACAATACATTCAAAATGTTCGACGGTACGGTATGGGTCATCATACGGTCATATGACCGGCTATACGGTCGTACGGGAGATGAAAAAACGTCGAATTAGTAAATTACAGTAGTACTAACTCGCTCATCTGATTTCGATGCTTACTTATATCTGCAGATGAGTCCAGCGAGGATGACGAGGAGTATGCTGACGCTGATGAGGAAGCCGAAGATGATATGGGGACAGGCACTGCCACACAGACCTGGACACATATCCATCAGATGATGACGAGGAACCTACTCCAGCTCCTCCGTCACGACCAGTCAAGACTGCACGCTCTGCTGAAACAAGGCACATCGGCCCGTCATGTGACTGGTGTCTGTCTCATCCCCAGCTGTGGAAAACCGTCTTTCATTGAGTAAGTGGTCACTGGAGATCGATTGCTACGAGAGACTAGATGTTCTTCAGAGAGGCAGTGACCCGAGTCGGACTGGTTCCTGGATGCATCATGTGCCAACGCTACCCACGGCCATAACGCTGCGCAGGAATGGGTGTGCGTAAATCTCATGCTGAGTCTGATCATCAACATTTGAAGATTCTAATGTGGGGAAGTGTTCCTGCTCACTGGTGGGATAAGCAGAAAAGCAAATAAATGCAAGAAAACACAAACTAGTTGATGAAGTGCTCGGCAGTGGCTTGTACTCCGCCATTTTGTAGGCCTAAAATTGTCTCGTATGCGGATTCGCCAGTTAGGAAAGGATCTGCACCGAAACCCTCCCAGTTACGGCCACCTTGGGGGACACGACCCATGTTCGTCATAGGACCAAGGGCGGTGTTGATGCCTTACCCTTGAACTCCTGACCCAAAGCCAAGCCACGAGCACGCATCAGAGCACAATTCCAGCTGTGATAGATATCAGACATGTAAAGTTGGTGAACTCAAAGATGACTTGCATGGATGCTACCTGAATGCCAGCGGGGAATGCAGTCACGGATACACCGGTTGTAGACACGTTTGAGATGCTGGTGGTAGCAAAAGATGTCGCGGAGCTTGCAGCAGAATGAGCTAAGAGCTCTGGTATTCTAAGATTAGAACGCGTATTGTCAAGTGGTGCTTAGAATTGACACAGAACTCATACCGCGTTACAGAAAGTGGGACTTAAAATGCCGCGACCATATGGTCAACCGTATGTCCCGTATTTACGGTCGTAATAACCGTACATTTACGGCGAAATACGGTTATGGAGAAACCGTACACCATAACCGTATACCCCAAAGCTGAAGTGCCAACGGTACGGGTACGGTTACCGTATTACGCCACCGTACATGCCCGTAATACGGCCTATGGTGGCCAGCCCTAATAAGCAGGAAAATATAACAACAATTGGAATGGTTGAGGGGAGTGGACTACCGTCTCTTGCTTGTTGGGATGGTGCCATGTCACAATTTTATTACAAAGTCCCATGTCATTATACATTTGCTAACTGGTGCCAAAGGCACTTCACGCGAAAATGTCTTACAAAAGGGTGTAATTCAAAACATAGATCATGCAAAACCACAATGCTCAAAATAATTGACAACAGTACGCTACTGCCTCTCATCTGCCGCAACAGAGGAATGTCATAAGGTTGTGGTGGACCACCTATGTCACTCTAGACTTTCCGGCATTGATAGCTATGTATTTACAAATCAAAAATTTTGTAGCATACATGATCTTGTGTCGCAGGAGCAAAATTGTTTCCTCTTGTAGTTCCCACAACTACCATGTCAAGGACTCATCGGTTCTCTGATGGTATTGCAGCATCCTACTTTACCAGCACCTACCACCGTGTCGCTGACACTTATATTCTGGTTGGCCACGAAGCAGAATCATCCATAAAGCATTTCGCCCCCCCCCCCCCAACTTCTCATTGCACCATGATCCATTAGTACCCTGCATAAGATTTCTGAGACAACGCGACCATCTCATGACATGTTCAGTGCTCGACATCATGTGGCACTGTCAACCTTTTCACCAACCACACTCCAGGCAAGCACATCCTCACCACGTCTCCTGCTCAACAACGCAAGAACGTTGAAAGCCTCTCATTCACAGGCAAATACTTCCGAGTCATGCCCATCTTTGGTGATCTACGAGTCCTAGAAACAGGCTATCTCTGCCACAACTGGCCTGTCCAACAGCTCATTGCTCGTCACCCAGCCTTCATACAACAAGTTTGTCATGGTATTCCAGGTCTTCAATATCAACACATAACAAGCGCGTCGCCGTGAGTATGAGACGGATGTGTGGATCAGTGTATTCGACCTAACACTTCCACTTTCTCGCCTCATCAGATCATCGATTTCAACATGCTAGAAGGATGGACGAGCTTCCATCCCTCCCTTCACTGGCTCCTTGCAGATCTGTTGAAGCAGATTGAGGTGTCTAGTGTCCAGTACTTGTTTTTGCGCCTCTTGAACTTCGATGAAGGTATTAATTGATTTCCCTTTGCCAGGTAAAATGAGCTCATCGATATTGCAGCTGGTCTAGTAGCCATGGCCTCGCGGTGCTCGTTATGATCGCCCAGATCAGGGCAGGATTATGGGTCCGCAACGGCTTCCCTATCTGTGGCTACTAATTTCTGCATTACCGCTATTTTGTGCTGTGTGGGCTCTGCTATGACCAAGACCTGCTCATCCTCCAGTCATCTCTCATCATCCTCGATCCCAATACCATCATTATCTCTATCCTCAACCGTTTCGGCCTCCTGTCATTTTTCTGCGGTGAAGTCAAGAACTGTCCTTATGAGGGCGTCCATCTTCTGAGCATGGTCGAGGAGCTTTTCTACGTCCTCATGACTATTCTTGGCGAGAGAGCCAGCGCCACCAAGCTTCCGTTCCAACGTGCCATCCGCCACCTCAAGTGAATCCTCAAGGATGTACTATCTCACTTCCACACACCTGGTTCGACACTCACAATGGCATATTATCCTGCTAATAAATGGCATCCGCTCGCACATCATGAAGTGCGAGAGAGGCGCACTTTGCCCTCTCTAAATTGTCACCATAGAGATCCTCAAGCATCTACACAACTCTTGGTTCTCCAAGGTGAGGAAAACGATCCCATCGTTCATTTGTAGCTGACCGGGATTAGCATGCCAAATTTCTTCATTCACCCTATCGATCAGGCCTTCACGCGGACTTCGGGACAACCATTGCGGTTGCTGCTATCTTTGTAGCGAACCCATGTCGGGGTGAACACTCACTAATGAGTGCACTTTGTCGTGCTGATTTGATAACACTAAATATTACTTAGTTTAGCTGGACCTCTATCGCTTGGGTCGTCAGCATTGGATCATCCCTTATCATGGTCCTTTGGATCGTGGTCTACTCGTTCCTTTCAGTCAACGCCTTCTCTAACACAGATGCATTTATAGACGAGGTAGACATTCTCTTCCCCAATGTCATTTTTTGAACGACAATTGTTTTCTCCGTTTTAGTAGCACAAGGTGAGTCAAAATGGTGCTCCTATAAACTCATTCTAACTAGTGATCGATTAGTGCTTTGGTTCCTCATCAAATTCTTTAACTCGGTGTATATGCCCTTGGATCAAGATATTGTTCATGAGATGTGGGTCGGAAATCTCAAAGATCGTCTGCGCATCCGCCATCGCAAGAATTTGCCGATCAAACATTGACGCTGCACCCATGTCCCGCGAGCCTCATGCTCGTTCAGCATTGGAATTAGTTCTTGAACTGACGGTTCCAGGATCACCCGCAGGTCCTGATAGGAATAATCCTGGCGATAATGGCGCAGATGTTATTGAGCTGGTCCCCCAGGCCCTGTTACCAATTCCTCACTACGTGGAGAATACTGTCTCACCCGATACCTATTACTTTTTGGCATCCGATCTCCCCCTGCCCTTACCCATACTACCCTCGCTATATCAGTACTATTCATCAGGAGAAACAAGCAGCTAGACACTATTTGTCGCGCCGTCGAGCTCACGCGTCCTAAGCCCTCAGCCTCCTGTTCCTAAATTAGCTTACTCACGCCCCTCGCGTGATTGGCCCCGATCCCCTTTGCGTCTGCAGACTCCTCCACACTCTCATTCCTTGGAAACTGGTGAACACCCCCTTGTTCAGCTTCAACAAGAGGGACACAATGCTGGTGAAGGTCGGTATCGACCAGAAGAATCTGATTATATGGTGGATTTTTGGTTACGGTTCAATTTGTCGCTATGCCGGAAGAATTTTCAATGTCTGATTGTTGTTTGTTTCGAGTATTGTACTTTATTTTATTTTATTTGATGTGTACCTAGTTTTATTGTACCACTGCATATCGAAGGCTGTGTTGGCATTGGATCCCAGCAGGAACCACCTTGATGTTCACAGGTAGTATAATAAAGGCGATGCAGATTCCTTTACACAGGTTCGTGTCATATTGATGCATTAAACAGTACAACTGTAGCGCACCAATGATGCATCATTGGTGCAATTGTACTACCTTCCTTTGCTTTTCTCATGCTGATGCATCAGCCCGCTCCAGGTTGATGCATGCCCACCACCATCCCCTCCGTTCGCTGATGCATCCTTTATGTTTTCTGATGCATCCCCTTCATTTTCTGATGCATCAGTCCTCTCTTCGCTGATGCATCCCCTCCGTTCACTGATGCATCCTTTTCATTTTCTGATGCATCAGTCCTCACTTTGTCACGCCCTCCCGCCGTCTTGTGCCCACTGTCCTCCTGCACACGACCTCACTTTCTCGCGCCCTCCCGCTGTTTCGCGTGTGCTATCACACCCATCTGTCGTTACTCGTGCCCTCCCACTGTCCTCCCGCACACGACCTCACTTTCTCGTGCCCTCCCACTGTTTCGTGTGTGCTATCATACCCACCTGTCGTTACTCGTGCCCTCCCGCTGTTTCGTGTGTGCTATCACACCCACCTGTCATTACTCGCGCCCTCCCGCTGTTTTGCGTGTGCTATCACACCCGCCTGTCATTACACGTGTATTGCGTTTATTATCTTGTGCTCACTTTCTTGCACCCTCCGGCTGTTTCGCATGTGCCTGTCGTTACACAGGTATTGCATTTATTGTTTATCTACTAATATTACAACAAAGGTCTACTATGTGTCCATGTCCATGTCTTGCTGAGCAATGAGCGAGTTGTGATCAAATGTGTCCACCAGTGCCAAGGTGTCGGTCCAGCTAGTCTTGAAGGACTCGGCAAGCATTCGACATAAGGAAGCTTGACATTTGGTGTATGCCATATGGCCCTCACATTCATCTTCACCTGCATCCTCTAATGTGTTTTCCAGGCCCCGCTCATCCCAGCACTGCGCGTCCCAGTCCAAAAATTGCAGAATCCTTCACATCTCCTCCTTCATCAGTAAATTCCCACAATATGGACAGACCTACACAGACCTACACAGCACACCAGACACACAGCTTAGTCCCTACTAGCTAGCTCACCACAGTAGCACCTTTGTTTGTGAACATCTGTACATACACTCACAGACCCACCCAGCACATACCCAATAGCATCATTTTTCTCTGTACAGAGACTCACAAACCTGCGAGAAATCATGCTTATTGGACCTCCAATCTAAGAATAATGTATGATCAACAATAGATTGAATCACATGACTACGTGACAGCAAACAAAAATAGAAAAATGATATACGAGGATAGCGTGCGCAGTGACTACAGGGCTCAATCAAGCTGGATGCACAGGTGGCGGCGCTTCGATGGGTCAACGCCGTCGAGCTTACAGGACTCCGTCCTTATGAAATTTGTCAGTGCTGAACATTGTAAAAAGGGTTGACTCACCATCCAGCTTCGGCCCATGCACGAAGCTGTTGCGCTAGCTTTGGACCATGATAGGGGTCGTCCATGACATCTTGAAGAAGCTTGAGCATTGCTTTATAAATGAGCTCGTACTCCTTAGCAGTGAACTTCAGGAAAGATTTTCCGTTTCCATTCTTAACGAGACCATTGAAGACGCAATTGAACTGAAAAAAGTATCAGCAAATCAGTAGCGCGCCAGTATCAAGAAAATACCATTGTGCAGATGAGAGCTAAGCAGGTCAATGGTATCCTTCTGAAATATATTGGGCCACCTGCGAGCAATACGATAGGATCCAGTATACAAGAAAAGTATCGCACCCTCGTGAAGTCCAGGGTGAGCAAAGTTCTTGGTTTTCCCAAATTCATCCACTCCATCACAAAGAAACATTAAATCATCCAGCAAATCAGTAGCGGCATTTTCAACCCAAGCTGTGCGCTCCTGGATAGGAATGGTGGCTGGGGGGACAAGATTATACGCAGAAGGTGTGATGGCAATAGCAATCTTCTTGAGGTCAGAATGCCACGTTGCTAAATCATCATACAACTAGAAACGACATAAGGGATGAGGCGCACAATAAGAGAGATATGCACCAGCCCAGACCCTTCAGTCATATTCAACGTAGAACCCTGGCTCCGGACATGCCAAAAGGCTGTAGAATCCATGCCAGCCAGTCACCGGCCGGTTAACGTAGAATCAGTGCTGGCCAGTCTCTCTAGAAATAGTGTTAGCTAGCATATTACAACCAGGGTGATATACATAGATCATGGGCTGGCCGGATTTTTATAATGCATTCCAGTATGAGCCTATTGACCAATCACTATACGTAGGATCAGTGCTGGCCAGTTTATACTGACATATTGCTAGCATGGCCAGCCTCACTATATGACATGTAGTATTGAGGCTGGCCAGTTCATACTCAAATATTGATAGCATGGCCAGCATGAATATATATGACAGCTAGCTAGTTTATACTCGAATATTGCTAGCATGGCCAGCCTTATTATATGATATGTAGTATTGAAGCTGGCCAGTTCATACTCAAATATTGCTGTCATGGCCAGCCTGACTATATGACATGTAGTATTGAGGCTGGCCAGTTCATACTCAAATATTGCTAGCATGGCCAGCCTTACTATATGCCATGTAGTATTGAGGCTGGCCTGATTTATGGTACACCAGGCCAGCCTCCATACTACATGGTAGAGTCAGACCAGCTATGATAGCAATATTTATGTATAGACTGGCCATGCTAGCAATATTTGAGTGTATACTGGCCAGCCTCAATACTACATGTCATATAGTCAGGCTGGCCATGCCAGCAATATTTGAGTATAACCTGGCCAGCCTCAATACTACATGTCATATAGTCAGGCTGGCCATGACAGCAATATTTGAGTATGAACTGGCCAGCCTCAATACTACATGTCATGTAGTCAGGTTGGCCATGCTAGCAATATTCGAGTATAAACTAGCTAGCTGTCATATATATTCATGTTGGCCATGCTATCAATATTTGAGTATGACCTAGCCAGCCTCAATACTACATGTCATGTAGTCAGGCTAGCCATGACAGCAATATTTGAGTATGAACTGGCCAGCCTCAATACTATATGTCATGTAGTCAGGCTGGCCATGCTAGCAATATTCGAGTATAAACTAGCTAGCTGTCATATATATTCATGCTGGCCATGCTATCAATATTTGAGTATGAACTGGCCAGCCTCAATACTACATGTCATGTAGTCAGGCTGGCCATGCTATCAATATTTGAGTATGAACTGGCCAGCCTCAATACTACATGTCATATAATAAGGCTAGCCATGCTAGCAATATTCGAGTATAAACTAGCTAGCTGTCATATATATTCATGCTGGCCATGTTATCAATATTTGAGTATGAACTGGCCAGCCTTAATACTACATGTCATGTAGTCAGGCTGGCCATGACAGCAATATTTGAGTATGAACTGGCCAGCCTCAATACTACATGTTATATAGTCAGGCTGGCCATGACAGCAATATTTGAGTATGAACTGGCCAGCTTCAATACTACATGTCATATAGTAAGGCTGGCCATGATAGCACTATTCATGTATAACTGGCCAGCCTCGCTGCTACGTGTCATATAGTCAGGCTGGCCATAATATTTGACTTTATGACAAGTAGTAGTGAAGCTGGCCAGTTGGCATGAGTGAAGTCGGATGACCAGCATATTGTCTTTAATCAACTATGAAGACAATCAAAAAACATTTGACTCCTGGAAAGCTGGCTTCAAGAGTTCTATCTTTATAGCCTGGCTGACTACAGTCTACACATCATTTAGTTACTGAATTGTGATAACTGGAAGACAATCCTAAGTGATAATTAATAGCTTGTCCTTGAATTTCTCCTCAGCTTCCGTCACAAATGCTTTCCACACCAGCACCTGTCTATAAGCATAAGGTTGATGACCAGATTTCATGGCTTGATTCCACCGTTGATGCCATTTTTCTTCTTGATGTTTGAACCAACCTATCGTCCACCCCATTTCATGTTTAACCAAACTCAACTCCTCCTCCCACCTGTTCCATCTTGCCTTGGCCTTCAGCCAGTTCACTCTGTAGACTAAAAACATAATTTTTGAATTACACCAATCACATAGACCACAATGTTACTCACATTCATTCATCCAAGCATCTTTTTGACTCTTCTTTGCTCCATTAACTCTCCAAAACCAAGCGAGTTTGTCTGACCCCTGGCCAAATCTATTCTCTTCTGTTACCTCCTTGTCAATGTTGAGCTGTTCTGGTAAGATTTCTTGATAAATATTTTCTAGAGAATCTTGGTCCATGCCCAGTCTCTCCATAGCCAATCTTGCCCTTTGATAACTCTGAACATATTTCTCGATTTTGATGTGGCAACGTCGAGCTTCTTGCTTGGACCTTGTCCCAGTCCACACAGAATTAGCACTTCGAAAGTGTTGTCTGTAGATGACGGCCTTATGACCAAGAGCCAACCGAATCCTTTCAAGGCAATTATTGGCTTGACCTTTTCTCAGCTCCAGTTCCTCTGCCTGCAGGGCTGATAAATGAACCGAAAAAACCTGATCATGAGGAACTGATGATGGCATCCAGAGGCCCATATCTTCAGCTGGAATTTCATCATCCACCAATTCTGAATCATCTTTAAGGTTGACAGGATGAATCTCCCAGTCTTGCTCTTCATCGTTTGCCTTGCAAAATCTAGGATCATCTGTGTGCACTATACCTGCTTCCAGCTCGATTCCCTCTGTCATAGCATCAGCTGTTTCATGGAATTTGGTAATACGAGCTGATAGTTTCTGTCATTTCTCTTGAAGAGCAACCTTCTGAGCAGCAGTGGCATCAGATGGGAGTTGACGAATATCTGATCTTAACCCATCCCTACAATGAATGTGGTCATGCTGTCAGGCTTAAATAAAATTTGACGTACTGGGCATCCTCAAGGTTGATACCTTGAATGATCCAAGAGACTATTCCTAACCTTCCTGTTTCAGCATTCTCTGCTTCAGTTAATCTTAGTCGAATTTCAGCCATTGTAGGGGCTCCAGAATTCCAATGACAAACTGGGGTTAGCCTTGATTTGCCATGGAAAAATAGTAGGGATGATTACCTTGATCAATCTTGAGCTGATAAATGTCAAGACATTCACCTCGCTCCTCCATTGCCTTCTTCTCATCATTTTCCCATTCAGCAATTTTTTGTTTATCTAATGCACTTGTCAGCTCATTGAAAGGAAGCTTTGTATCTCTTATCCCCTTGATGGCTCGTTGGTGCTTCTTCAAGAGTGTCTTAACTGTGCTATCATGATTAATTACTTCTGTAATGAGAAAATGAACACCTACCAAGTCCAACTAGTTTCTTCCAATTTGAGTCCCGCATGTGATCATCCAAAATTTCCTGCCGATGACATTTACTCATGGATCGAGCAGTGGGTGATATCTTGTTGAAAGATGCCCAGAGAGTCTCTAGTATTTCACCATCTACTTGGCCGGCCCCTTGAATGAAGT